AGAAGTTGGTTTATTGAGAATTTCTTTATACTCATTCATGTCAATGTAGACAGGTAGAGACTTAATAGAACAAAACACCTGAAGATAAGCTTTTCCCTACTTATTAAAATCAGCAAAAATAACTAATATTTTACTCTATTCACCCTTCTTTTATATGAAAATGAGCACAACTAGAGTTTTGTGACCTTACCAGAGTCTTCTGAGACTCATAAAGAGCTCTTAGCCTTTCACAAGCAATTACTTCAACTCACTATATTACCATTGTTGTTGTTGCTGTTGATTCATAAATTGTTACAATTTGCTTCTTTGTCCTTCTAACACTACGCTTGATATTCTTTTTTAAAAAAATTAAATTTGTTGGGGTGACATTGGTTAATAAAATTATATAGGTTTCAGGTATATAGTCCATTCTCTGTGTGTTCACCACCCCAAGCCAAGTCTCCTTCCAACACATTCACCCCCCCTTTACCTTCTTCTGCTACCCCCTTCCCTCTGGCAGTCACCACACTGCTGCCTGTGTCCATGAGTCTTTCTTTTTTCTTTGCTTAATCCCTTCACCCTTCTCACCCAGTCCCCAACCCCTCCCCTCTGATAACTGTCAGTCTGTTCTCTATATCCATGATATCCTGGATATTCCTAAATCATCCTTGATCTGGTAATAATAAGATGTTCCATTGTAATCCTTACCTTTCATTCTCTACAAGATATGGAATCAGTTATTCTAATTTTATTTAGAGAAAACAGTATCAGAGAGAAAAATGTGAGCACTAGGTAAGATGAGTATTGGCCCAATTTTAGTGTCAGAACTGGGAAAAAATGTGTATCAAGAGAATGTGTTTCCTCAATTTAACAGAACATATTGCTGTCCCTCTTCCTATGGTATGAAGTTTCCATTGACCATCAAAGTGTTCTTTTATATTGATATATTTACATCCAAAATTAAAATACCTCTGACCCCAGCTGTGGGCTGCTAGCCCAGGTGAGATGAGTAACTCCCCTGTGAATGGCATTGCCACAGGTACCAGGTGCACTCTGTGGGTGCAGTAATGTACCAGGTACTGTGAAAAGCAGGGTGACATATGAAATATGGCCCCTGGCCTCCAAGAATGTACTGAAATCACTTATGTGGGTGAAACAATGAGAAAATTATATCAACTATCATTTAACCAGTGCTTGCTGAAACTGGCGGTGCAAGCAATAGATGGGGAAGGGGTTGAGAGAAATGAGAGTGTGAGGAGAAGCTAGAGGGCTTGGGCCACCTTGAAGAACGGTTGAACTTTAGATAAATGCAAGGTGTACCTTATCACTGGAAACCACCTTCCACACAGAATTAAGCATCCTGTGGAGCATGGTGTTAGGTTGTATATGAGGCTGCTGACAAACGAAGCACAATAGAGACACTGGCATATGGGGAATTGAACATGGTGCCTAAGAATGAGAGAAAATAGATAGGATTTTGCTGTCCTTTTGAAATGACAGTGAGAAAGCGCATTACAGCAAGGTCAGAAACCCATTCCATGCAGTTCATAGAAGGAAATACTTTAGGGTGCATTAGGAGTCTAGAGACCCTTGTAACTTCTATCTCTTAATGCTTTTAGAAACAACAGAAGGCCAGTGATCCTGCTTCCTGTCTGGCTGACCCATTCTTCTCCATGTACCACCAAGTGCCCCTGCACAAACCTGTTCCATTACCAGTTCTGTGCATTTAACTTGCCCTGCTTAGCCGGGGAATATCCTACCTCTGGCATCACCTTCGTGCGTTTTCTGTCCCCACTGCTCCCAAACCTGCTAAGAGAAGTGATTTCTTTCCTCCATGGTGCTCTCATAGCATTTCATATGACAGGTCTGTGCTACTATCTATCTCACATATTATTATTTACTCTCTACTTGTCTGCCTCTTCATAGTTAGTAAAGTTAGGGGATGTACCTTATTTATTCTCATCTGTAATCCAAGTGTCTAAGCACAGTATTTGACACTCACTGTGTAGTCAACAGATATTTGTTGGATCAATTGATAAATGAATGAGTGAATGAATGAGTGGATACATTTCACTGCCATTTCAAAAGAACAACAAAAAACTATCTATTTTCTCTCATTCTTGGGCACCATGCCTCAGGATTGACTCTTAGGTGACTCTGGGGAATTGATGTATACTTTTGGATTTGGTCATTCCTTGTTTTTGACCTTGATAGAGCTACCATTAATTTTCAAGCATTAAATTGGCAAGACTAACAGGTAAAATGTCGTCCCTAAATTCATAGACCAAATCTTAGTTTGTCTTGGTTTCAGTTGTAATATTTCTAGCTAAGCCTTGTTTTGATAAGAAAAGGGAGACCTGGGAAACCAGCTATAAATCACTTGATATAATATGTCAAGTCATCATTTAACAACTTCATAGAGGCAAAACTTGGAGATCCAGAGACTCAATGATGAGGCTGTATTAGGAACAGAATCTTCTAATGATTACTATACTAAAGCTCTTTGCTACAAGATGGCTTCCAAGTGCACAACTGAAAATTGTTGTGATAGTTCTGAAATGATTGGCTGTATCAAGTTGTGTGTCCATGGCTAGGATATCTCTGGAGATCATTTGAGGTCTTTGGAGATGATGGGAAATCTTTGGGGAAGGACAGTAACCCAGCTGCCACCTGACCCCACCTGGAAGGAGGTGGTATTAAGGAGAGTGGTTATCTCTGTTTTTGCTTTCTTCTTTATACTATTTTTTAAACCATGGATATAAAAATAGTATAGAAATTAACAATGATTGAACAGTTTCTGTTCTATGGAAGTTTCTATTGGAAACGTGTGCTTCTTATTCAGCCTTTTTTGCTTTCATGTTTTCTAGTGGTTTTGGCTCTTGATCCACAGAACTCCCCTGGTCACTGCTTTAACACTCCAAATTGTTACAAAAAGGCAAAGAAGATTTTATCACCATAAAGATCAGAGAAGACTTCTTTCTATGCCTAAACATATGCAGATTTATCTATATCTATATACATAAAATATATGACTAGAATCATACGATATAGACTATTTTGCAGTGTTCATATATGCATGAGTGTATGCATACACGCATATATACTTAAAATTACTAAGTATTATACTTTACAAATGTGAAATAATATACTAAACTCAGGCTGTTTGGAAAGATATTCTGCTTGCATCCAGCGTTCCACTATTACAATTAATATGCAAAAAATATCCTTGTTCATATATCTTTGTGTTCTTCCCAGATTATCTTCTTAGGAGAAATCCTTAGGAATAATATGGCTGGATCAGGAAGTGTGCATGTGTGAGTTTTAAAGAGGTTTTCAAATTATCCTCCTTGAAAGGTTAGCTAATTTCTACCCCTGCCAACCGTAAATAATAGTGCCTGTTCCTCTCCCCGCTTGCCAATAGAGTATTGCCAGGATTATTCACATTTATCAGTCTGAGAGCCACAAGTGATATCAATTCACTTTTTGAGGAGGTTACCAGTAAAGTTTAAAATATATTCATGTGATAATTGACCATTTATTTCTGTTTATCCTCTCTCTTTCACATTTTTAAATCAGAGTCCTTATTTTCATTTTAATAATTTAAAGACATTCTTTGTGTTAACCTTTTGTTGGCCCATATGTAACAAATAGATTCCTCAGATTTTCAATCATTTTCATGATTTTACTTTTACTATATGAAAACACTTGAGTTCTATGTAGTTATGTTTACCAATCTTTCCATCATACCTAGATTACCTAAATTTCCCATCAAAACAAGAGAGTGCATCACCATCTCAAGAGTATGAAAATTCAGTCTGGTCCCTGCATACTGCCCAGACAGAGTGTAGGGACTGCTTCTGTCATCTTTCCCAACTCTGCCTGCAGCCTTTTGAGCAAGAGCCTATCATTTCTACTGTTCGGTACCACAGATTCTCAGAAACCAATTTTATTACCTGACATCATTCCTGGGTAAAAGTCAAAAGCTCTATCACATTTACCACATTCCTGAAAATTCCAGGAACTCTGATCCCTGAGCTCATGGTATCGGTTGTGTTCTCTGGGTTGGGGATAAGCAACAAGATCTTGCTGAAAAATTTGGCCAACTGTACTTGAGAAGCTTATTGTTGGTATTTTTAATTATAAAAATATTATAGTATGTGGGGTACTATTCACCTGGAAGAATGGATTTTCATATGGTGAACAGTTACCCCGAGTCCTACCATCTTTGCCATTGGTAACATTTTAGCATGTTTCCTTTTGCTTCTTCACTATATACCTTTTTGTGTAATTGAGGTCATGTTTATGTGCCATTTGTGTGACACTTTTTCCCTCAACACCATATTATTAAGGATATTTTTAAAGGCTTTTAACTAGTTGATTGTTTTATTCTGTAGATAAATCAACTATTCCCCTATTGTTTGTTATTTGGGCTGTGTCCGTTTTATTATTGCAATTACAAATCAGGTTAAAATAAATATTTCCGTATGTGAATCTCTGTCTACAATTGGATGGAGGGATACAATTGACTTTTATCACAATTGATTTGCACTGTTAAATTTCATTCACGGGGGGGGGGGGAGGGTGGAGATTGTAACATTTTACAACCCAACCAAAGGGATAGGAGTGACTATGAGAGCATGATTATGTCTATTTAATATTATTATTCTAACAGTTCAAAGTTGAACTAACTGTGGAAACTGAGATACGGACAGATAAACTTGCCTTGTTGCTGGTAATCCTATCAATTGTGTTTGGCGATGGGAATCTGTTGTCCTCTCCACCTAGCCAGGACCTTTCCTACTTCACTCGAGACCCATGGAAATGTGCTGTCCTTGAAATTAGACCAGGAGCTCAGCAGCACCATCAAAGCTCCTACTGGTGCCTGGCTCCCTCCTGTATTTGGTCTTCGCCTCCAATAAGGGGTGGTATGGCCAAAATCACCAAACCGGATCCATGTTTGCCTTGCAAACCAAACGAACACTTCTATTTCTGTTTTGCTTTGTGTCTGGACTGACTCTTAGCACCTCTTCTGCCTGTGAAGGATTTGTCACTTCTCCTGCAAGACTGGCACCGGCAGAAATGCAGTCTCAGAGGACCCCTGGGCGAAAGCGAGGCCGACCCCCACTGCACTCAACACCCGTGACGATGGCAGTTCACAACCTTTATTCTGCTTCCGCTGGTTCTTTGCCAGCAGTGAAGATCCCAAAGAAAAGAGGGCGGAAACCTGGGTACAAGGTACGGCTCCATCACCCCCTTCCTCCGCGGTGCTGCCGGGCTGGGGCATGGGTGTGTGGACAGAGCTCCGCTGGGGAATGTGAGGAAAGGTGGGGAGCTGGGGAAAGGCGGGATCCATACCAATCTGTCGGTGGAGCTGTGAGGGACGTGGCCCCGAGGGTACACGGTGCATGCTGTTGCTGTCACGAGCATTTTCACAAATGGACAGAGCAAATTACACCAGATGGGGGGAGCTGTCAGGCGAGGCCATTTTTAGGGTCAGAGCGAAAGACACATTAGGCAGCCTCACCTCTAAAATAATGTTTCGGACACTGAGCTTTCCCCTGACTGTGCCTTTTGGGGCGGCTCTGGAAACCACTTCCCAGAACTCATTCGTCATTTATTTTAGTAGAAGCAGATGATGTCCACGAGTCACTCACACTAATAACGAGAGCAGGCGAGTGTCAAAGGACACAGGAGAGTGTTCCCCAGCGGAGCTTCAAGGAGGGGACTCATCCTGAAAAAGCTGGGTGTGAATTCATGGTTTCCTGCTTATAAAAGCTGTTGACGTCATTTGGCTCCAAGGAGGCGTCTCAGGCAAAGTTAAAATCCTGTGACCCTTTTACGAATTAAGATGTGGAGCGTAAATTCCCCACTGTGACTGCGGTCACAGGGAGCAACCCAGACCGGCAGACGAGCTTCAGCCCTAAGATGTGTTTGCAGACCCTGCCAGAGAGGAAAGACCAGCTTGTGCCCCATAACCCTTTGGGCATCAGAAAATGAGCTTCAGGAGTTTCCCTTCATTTACTTGTCTTGAAATAAAGAGTTTATGTTTCCATCTTGAGATCTGAATGCTCAAACCAAAATGCAAATTGGCAATTAACTCTCGTAGATTTAGGGAAATGTATGGAAATTATTTCAGGTGAGCAGAGAGACGAAGCTTCCGAAGAGCTGGTTATGAATTCAGCCTTTATCCCTTTGGTTCTCTGCACTTCTTCCAATTGCTGGCAGTGAAAAACGGTAGGTGGGGGGAAGTGACTCAAAGTTATTTGGGGGTCATTGGTTTTACGAAAACTTTTTAGGTAAAGTCTTTTGTCACTGGTTATTTTAAAAAAATATATTTTTATTGATTTCAGAGAGGAAGGGAGAGGGAGAGAGAGATAGAAACGTCAACGATGAGAGAGAATCATTGATTGGCTGCCTCCTGCACTCCCTCACCAACTGGGGATCAAGCCTGCAACCCGGGCATGTGCCCTTGAGTGGAATCAAACCCAGAACCCTCAGTCCACAGACCAATGCTCGATTCATTGAGCTAAACCAGCCAGGGCTGTCACTGGTTATTTTTTCTAATGAAGGACCCCCCTTTTCCTCATGGGCACCTCAGCTTCAGAACTGTCTCTGAAGCTGGCCCAGGGCAGGTCTCCCGCTTAACTACCTGCCCAGTGGCCCGTGGCTGGGAATTGCATCTGGAAGGCTGGACGGGGCAGGCTCTCTGTTTATAGAGCCAGGGAGCGAATCCAGGAGCCGAAGAAGAAACACACTGAAAAGCCTTCTCTTCTGTTTGGCCTTTCTCCTACTCCCCTGGGAGCTGTGACCCAAGAATGAAAATTACTGACAGACACAGCACTTCTGGAGCCAGGAAAAATGGAAATTCACTCCATGGAATGAACCGGACTTTGCAATTTTTCTGTCTCCTACAAAAGGGCAGTTTTCAGTGCTCCGAACACTCAGAGACACCTCAGGGCAGGAAGAAAGCTTTGGGATGCTGAGCAGGCGCCGCAGGCTTGCACCAAGAAGGCAGGCCTCATGCCCATGCCTCACAGTTTCACTGGGGAACATGGGGCCACAGCTCTTGCTAGAGTCCACCTCCCATATACTTGGGGAAATGGGTGGGAATTATTTCAGGCCAGCAGCTCCCAGACAGCTCCCCAAGTGTCAGTGAAGAATGGCTCCAAGCCAGGTGTCCGTCTGCATGAAGTTCCGACCCACTTATGACACGAGAAAAATAAGAACCATCCGAAAGGCTTCATAAAGCCAAAATGATTCCACTTTAGGGGTTATCCTTTACTCTGACATATCTGCTTCCTAATATTTTGGTGTTAACATTTATTTTATTTTATTAAGTGTTGCGTGTTGTCAGGATTTGCTAATTTTAAAAAAGGTCCTATTTGGTGAAACAAAGTTGGCACACTATTAAGTCTCTCCAGCTTTATGTTGGCAGTTTCTTAGACTCCGAGGCCCCTTTTGCTATTAACAAAAATGTTTTAATTGTGGAGAAGCTAGCAAGGAAACGACACGGTTTCATTATATTTACCAAATAACCACCCAATTTTAACAATCTGAGACACTGTTGGGGAGCCAGAAGTTGCTAAAAAAATAAAATAAAAAATAAAAAAATGCTGAGCAAGCAAAATAAGATATTACTTGGTCTACTCTTAAAGATCTCGTATTTTATTACTAAGAAAATGCTTTCGAGCCCTCCCTGAGTTTGTTTACTTTTACTGTAGACATGTCTTACAAGCTCGATTATAGCAGTTTATTAATAGCCTTAGATTTGAAGGGGATGATGTCTGGGGAGGGAAGACACACACACAGCTGGACATCAAGGGGATAATAATAATTATCATCATAATTCTATGATCATGTGTTAATAACATAGAACAGTAACATATGCAATAATATTGACATTATAAAATAATAAATAACATAATTTTGTCACACCAGTAATAACATTTATGATATATTTACACTACCAACACTATCATAATAAGAAGTGTTTGAGCCTTCAGCAGACTCGGCAGACTCGCCCCCAGGAGGTTCTGAGAACAGCTGGCCGTGCTGACTGCATCACAGGGCTGTGCTGCTTGCTGTCTGTCACTTTGTGCCTGGTGCTCTCCCGAGCTGCTCTGTCAGTCATGTGCTCCTGCACATGTGGAAACTCTCTCTGGCCCAAGTAGGGAGCAAGCTTCTCCTTTAAGACCAATAACAGGTGGTGACATTTAACCCCTTCTCTGAGTCTTGAGTGAATTATAGGCAGAAAAGGGAAAGTTCAACTGGCTGTCAGTGCTCCCGAGTTCATAGGTCGTCGTGGCTCCTCCCAGGGCCCATCTGGCCACCTCTCTCTTCGCCCGCCCTGGCTGACAGCCACGTTGCTGGGACAAGCTCACTGCTGTGAGAGGATCATTATGGCTTTACTGTCCCCTTCTCATTCACGTCAAAGGAAGCAAACACCTCTTAACACTAATTTTCTCTGAAGAGCTGTAACCGGACTACCATGCAAAAAGACATCTTCCTTATTAAACAGAATTTTACATCTCATTTGCAGCATCTGCTATTGATTTAGGTCCTTTGCTGAACCTTTAGACCCCATGACTAAAAAACCCCAAAAACACATTGAAGACTTTTTTTTAAGAGATAAAGAGAGAGGGTCTGCACCAAGGGGAAGGCCTAGCTCCCTTTCTTTCTTTCTTTTTCTTTTTTTTAAAATATATTTTATTGAATTTTTTTGCCCCCCTTCCTCCCTCCCATATATACCCTCCCTCCCCAGAGTTTTATGTCCATTGGTTGTACTTATATGCATGTACACAAGTCCTTTGGTTGATCTATTATCTCCCCCAGATCTTCCTCCCCTCCCCACTGTAATTTGACAGTCTGCCTGGTTGCTTTACTGCTTGGTTGGTTCATCAGTTTATAATGTTCTTTATCATCCACAAATGAGTGAGGTCATGTGGTATTTCTCTTTCATTGATTGGCTTATTTCACTCAGCATGATGTTCTCCAATTCCATCCAGGTTGCTGCAAATGATGAGAATTCCTTCTTTTTTATGGCAGCATAGTATTCCATTGTGTAGATGTACCATAGTTTTTGGACCCAATCATCTGCTGACAGGCACCTAGGCTGTTTCCAAATTCTGGCTATTGTAGATTGTCCTAGCTCCCTTTCTGTAGACATGGATGACTCCATGTCTCCACGTAGCAAGATTTTTCCATTTCTGTGTCTTTATGATTGGAATTCTTATTTAAGCAGAAAAAAAAAAAACCTGGACTTTTAAAGTAGCCATTTGTCTCCGATATATAATAATAATAACTAAAACTAATAGCAATGATATGTAACTTTTGTTGAGCACTTCTATGTTTGTGGTTCTAGCCTAAGCACTTTGTGTGCATTTTCTTATTTGATCCTTGATGGTTTGGTAGTAAGGGGAGTTAGAAAAATGGCATGAATTAGTCATGAATCAACCAACCCCCAGAGCCTGAGGCCACTTATTGTCAGGGTAGCAGCCCTCTACCTTTTCACTATCTCTTTGTATTATTATTCAGAATAGTAATTACCCTTTCTGATTCAAAAAAGAGTAAATTATGTTCTGTCTGCTCAGTTTAATGAGTTAGAAAAGTGTAACATGTTCTAGAAAGAATTTCATTCCTGAAATATTAAAAACAAATGGTTAAAATGTTCTTAAGTGTTGGCAGTTATATTATTCCGGATACAAAGTCAGCTGTTGTAATGGTGGCTTAAAGACAGTAGAGGCTAATATTTTCTTTCTCATGTTAAAGTCTGGGAAGGCCATCTTGTACTGATACAATGGCTTGATGGTAATGGGGACCCAGGCTCCTTCTATATTGTTGCTCTGCCATCTCAACAAAAGTCCCTGCTTCATGCTCTTAAATGACTCCTCTAGTTCCTATCCCACACCTCCAGCCAGCAGAATGGTGACAGAGCTAGTGGAAGCATGTCTTTCCTCTTTAAGGGCCCAGTCACATCCCTATACTTGCATCTTTAGCTGGCCAGACTCAGTTACTTGGCCTCACTTAACTCCGAGGAAGATGGGAAAATGTAGTGCTGGGTGACCAGGTGATGAGCTAAAATTCAGAGGTTCCATTATTAAAGGAATAGGGAGCATGGATATTTGGGAATAATCAGCAGCTGTAGCTAAGTACTTAAAGGACAGTCTTCTGTTTATTCGAAATTTTACTTTTAAGGAAAGTAATTTTATAATGAATATGGGCCAACACAACACTTGGTTTTGTTTCCCTTATCTTATTGTCATCTCCTCCTTTCTACCCCAAAGTATATACTCTTGGCACTGAGTAATAAGAAGTCAAATTCACAAAAATCTCAATTAAGAGAATGTTCAAATTTAAGGAAATAGGGTTTTGTTTGTTTCAACACTTCTTTGAAGCATCTTTCTAAAATGTGTTTTCATTAGAAATGTTGAATTGGCTTCAATGCTCCTTTGGTTATACAGATCTTATATGCTTGAAAATCATATATTTGAGCACTAAATGCAGCTTAATAGCAGGCAAGGGAAGAATTGATATTTAATAACTCCCTGTGCCTATTTTTAAGGTCACCTCTTGCTGATGACAGGTATGGAGTGCCACCTGTGGTTCATGGTGGAAAATGATCACACAGGCACAAGGCAGGGCCATTCCCTCCGCTGGACAGTATGTATGCAGCACCGATGGCAGGGGCTCTCTCCTTTGAACTTCTGTAGCGCCCCCAGGCCTCACCCCAGGGCAGGGGCAGGGGTCAGTGTTGGGTTCAGCCATAGGTCAGGGGCAGTGGTAGGCTGGCAGATGTTTCCAGCATTCTGAGTGTAGCTCCCTGTGAATGTTAGTTGATATTTTCGCAGATGTTAAGGAGTAAAACAAACGTAAACAAGTGAAGTTGTATGTTGGAACTTCTTTCATCTGTCAAGGATGTGAGTTCTTTGCTGTACTGGATAATATAGTTTTGAACGCAAAAGATATTTCAATTCCTTGTCCTATTTACAGTGTAACAGCTACGGACTAGACACACTTTTAAGTTTAGCCTGGATTTTTAACAATTTCTTAAATCTACAAATCAGTAAAGTAATAATTCCAGTCCTAATTTGTAGCATTTGCCAATTTCCAAGGTCTAAATATTCCCAATATGGCCAATTTCAAATCACCAGTGTGACATCTCTGAACATGGTTTTGAGAAAAGATGTGGAACAACCCACTCTTGCATCTGTATTTCCATATTTGCATACAGATACAACTGTAGAATAATTGGAAAATGATGAGTTTTGAGTATCTATTGTATTATCCTTGTTTTTAATATACTTTAATTAATACCCTAAGTAAATGTATTCAGTCATTTTAAATAATGGCTGTATTTAACATTCAACTTGCAATATGACTGGAAATCTAACAATCATCTCTGTGGACCCAGATAAGCTGGCTCCAGTGTCCCCTGCTCTGAGCTCTGCTGTGCACAATGCCTGAGGCTGGATGTCCCATGTCCCCTCTTCATCTGCAGGGCTGGCTGCTTTGACCCATGCCTGATGATACATAGAACTTGGCCCCTCACCAGTTTCTGTAAGAAACCCAATCACACCAAGCATTCCTTGAAATATGTTGTCTCTACTAAAGATTGTTGGGGTCGCAGGACACAGTGGACAGGATACCACCATATAATGCTCACAGACAAAGCTGGGATTTTGAATTCCACTTTATCTAGTGATGAGGTTTTTTGTTTCCCTTTTTCCTCCATATTTCTCTGCGTGCCCATGGAGTACTCACTTCATTGTCTTCTTACTTGGGTTCTTCTGTCAGAAGGAAATGCAACCACTGTTCCTCCCAGCCCACCTCAGGTAGAGCCTCAGCACCCCATCCTCCCTCCCTCCCTCCCTCCCCCCTTCACCCCTGCTGTACCTCAGCAGTTCCAGCATCACTCAGGGCCCAGAGGAGAATTTGAACCCCATGCGGTGCTGGTGGGGAAAAGGTCCAGCTTTCACACCCTATATACTCACCCCATTTGCACCTCTGAAAGGCACGAGGACACTGGACCACTCCCTTCCCACATCCAAGCATCCCCTCTGTCTTCACTGTGATGCAAGCAGTATATTGGACTGGGATAATACGTTTTCCTAGGGAAGTTTTAGTGCAAATAGGTCTCAATCAGGATCTTAGATTTGTCTGACATGTTGCCCAAGCAGGTCTCAAGGCCAAAGAACACTGGCTCCTCCTTCCTTTGGTGTTTAATCTCTCCTCCAAATGCAGGGAGGAAAAGGTATGAGTAGGCCCCAAAACAAGCTGACTCCTAGGAATGGAATTAAATCATCGGCTACAAACTTCTTGTTTTTGGAGCTGATTTGCATTTTCAACAAGTAGGTTTTTAGACCAAAATCTGAGGTTAAACACTGTGAGGTACTCAATTTCCCCTAACTCTGCTCCCTACAGCACTTCCTCAGAACCCTGCTGGTAAGGGTATAAAGAAAGAGTAAGCCTAAAGAAGGAATCCCCAATGAAAACTATAGGCAGGGACATAGACAAAGCTGTGGGACACAGCTTCTCTTTCCTTCCGGTGCTGGATGAGGAGAGGGCAGATCCCAGCACATAGGGAGATTTAGGCCAAAGCCCAGGCGGTGAATTATTCATACCTTTGTGGTGTGCTGTCTGGCCCAGCATCTGTACCTGGCTTTGCTGGCCGAGGATCAGCTGCTATATGTCAGAGTAAGGTGTCCTGGGCAGTAAACTTTCTTCCAGCTTTATGTCTGCCTCCTTCCTCCTCATTTTACCCAGTTTATTCTTTCAGATCCTATTTTTAATATTTCAAAATAAATTCACTTTGAGAATAATTTTAGATTTAGGAAAGAGTTGCCAAGATAGATAATTCTCATATACCCATACCTAGTATCTCCTATTGTTAGTATCATATATTACTGTGGTACATTTGTCACAACTGCTGAACCATCATTATCAAATAATGTCCATATTTTGTTCAGATTCATTAGGTTTTTTCCTATTCCATTTCAGGATCCATCCAGGACACCACATTGCACTTAATCACTGTATCTTCTTAGGCTCCCCTGGGCTATGAAAGTTTCTTAGACTTTCCTTGGTTCAAATGAAGTGCTGTTTAAGCTGACCTCTGAGTGTGACCCCAAACATGAATCTTGGACATGGACGTGAATCTGAAGTTCAGCCCCCAAAGCTGCAGAGTAGAAAGGGGTGGCAGCGAGATAGAGTAGCCAAGGTTTACTGCCACCCAGGAATTATTCTGGTAGGGTGTAGAGAGCATTCCAGATTTTCATTGACCAAATGGGCTCTTTCTTACAGCTCAAGTCTCCAGTTCTTCTGACTCCGTTGGCCCTCTCACCTCTACGGAGTACGCCGGAGCCCGACCTCAGCTCCATCCCTCAGGATGCAGCCACCATCCCCAGCGTGGGAGTCCCTCAGGCTCTCACAGGTAGGTCAGGAGAATGAACTCCAAGGCTGTGATGGCCTGACCATCATCGAACAGTTTCTTTATGAATTAGAGAGCTGTCATCGACATAGCTCAAATAAAGGATTTACTCTGTTAGCTAGACAGCAGATAGGATGACCAGATTCTCTGAGCATGTGAGTTTAAATGTCTCACAGTTTGGATGATGTGAAACTTGGTTTTCAGTGTATCTTGGGTTCAGCTGGTTGCCTTGGGGTGGGACTGGGAGGAGTAGCTGGGGGCCTAGATTTTTCTTTCCAGATCCAGGTTTACTTTGCACCAATGGTGAGCCTGCTTACCTTGAAGAGTTTCCACCCCTATTTGTACTTCCAGATCTCCCAAGGATCCTAATCTCCTTTAATTCCACCTGGCACCTTCCAATTCAGTCAGGGTAGCACTCAGCTCAGTGTCTCTCATGGGACATTCAGCAACCAGCCATGGTAAGAATAGCAGCAATCAGATTTTGTCAAACACACACACACACACACACACACACACACACACACACACACCACACACACACACACACACACACACACACACACACACACACACAGAGTCCCTCCTACACACTCTCCTCATCACAACCCTTCTGCACTGCCCTCTTCCCTCCCACCTAAATTCCTTCATTCTCCTCCCATTTATGGCCAACAAAGCCCTGTAAGTTCCCTCCCTCTGTGATCCAGCCCACTGCTCTGCTTAGTCCCTGGGGCCCACCACAGGATCTTAGCACAGTTTCTTCTCTCCAACTGGAATGATCTTCCCTCCGGTCATCCTATGTCTCCCTTGTATCTCAGCTCAGGCACATCTGCCTCCTTCACGGGCCTCTTGCCAGGTCCTCAGGGAATCTCAGGCCTGGGATGGTGGTGTTGGCCAGGGGCTATGCTCCATCTGTAGACCTCCAGGGCCCTTTGTGAGCCTGTGTGCCAAAAGCTTCTTTCAGGCTCTCCTAGTACCAGTGTTTCTCACAGTCCAGTCCCATGTCAGTCCCTATGACTCTCTGAGAAGGCCTGCCTCCCCACTGAGACCTGTGAAGCCAGGGACCTCATTGGCTTGGTTCACCATTTTCTCTGTAAGGCCTAGCATGCTGTCTGGCATGAAGGTTCTTGTTAATTATATTTACTTAATCACCTGGGATGAGTGGAAGAGAAGGCAGCCTGGTAGGTTGAAAAGGGCATAGTCTTAGACCTCAAAAAGGCTGAGTCCAAATCCCTGTTGCTCCACTAATTACAGACACGAATCCCTCTAACCACATGAAGCTTCAGTTTATTCAGTAGTAAAGGAGGAATAACACCTAATTCCAAGCTTGTCTTCAAAATGAAACAAGATAAAATATACAAAGTGCCTGGAATGTGATAAGTGGTCAATAAAAACGAATTTTCTTTGCCTTTGTTATTACTGGTCAGTAACACTATTGGTGTTCTCTTAAAGTCCCTCTTCAACTCTCCTTTGCATCAGTGGCCCCCGAGGCAAGATGCTCATGCTCTGGGGTAGGGCTGGGGAAGGGAAGGGTCAGGGGAAGGAGGAAGAAGAAGAGAGTAAATGTACAGAAGAAAATGTGATACCTATTATTCATATATGTTTTTAGCTCATCCTTTAAAAATTTATTTTTCTCAGATATGTTTTAAAATGTAAACAATCCATCACTAAAGGCAAGACTGAATATGCCCTATAAATAAATAGATACACATTTGGGGGCTTGTGCTCAAACTATTTTTACTTCAGATCTGTGGAAACCCATTGATTGTGCTCACCTGAATAGTGGCTGATTATTTTCCCTGAAATTGTAAATAGCACTCATTTTCAGCTGTTGAATGCATAGTTTTTGGAGCAATCAACATTATATTGATGTTTTCACTCATCAAAAGTGGCAGACAGTATGTGTAGCTTGACTGCTCCCTTGGAGAAGATGGGAATATACTGTATGGGTACATGCCCAGCACGAAAGTGCATTTATACATGGTGTCCACATGGGCTCCCATAGCTGTCAGATCTGAGTGCATCACAGCAGACCCACCTGTCCATCTGTCCCCAACCAGGAGGCCCTCTTAGGAACAAGCCCTGGCAGTTGGGGCAATGGGCTTCTTTGCCTCTTTTGCTTACTAGGTAGGAAGAATCACTCCCACTTTTGCCCCTTTTCAGCTTTCCAAGGCCAGGGCCGAGGGAGCAGCTCCCTAGCTGATGTGCACTGTGCTGAGGGCTTTGGGTCTGTTTCCACAGTCTGCCTCTACATCAATAAGCAGGCCAACGCCGGGCCCTACCTGGAGAGGAGGAAGCTGCAGCAGCTCCCGGAGCACTTCGGGCCCGAGCGGCCGTCGGCGGTCCTGCAGCAGGCCGTGCAGGCGTGTATCGACTGTGCGCACCAGCAGAAGCTGGTCTTCTCCCTGGTCAAGCAGGGCTATGGCGGTGAGATGGTCTCGGGTAAGGCTCTGGGGCAGGTGCATGAGGAGGGTATGGGTGTCTCTGAAGGGCAAAGCAGCCATGCCCTCTCTGGGGGGACAGTGGCTGTGGCCGGGGTCTGGTCTCTATCTGGTGGGCTCCAGAGCCCTTCATGAGCCTGTGTGCTGAAAGCCTCCTTCAGAGCTCAAGGAGAAGATGCTCCCACACTTGGACAAGATGACGTCCCCCCTGAAACCTCACCCCTGACTCCTCTTTCTCCCACCCCCACCTCCAACCCTCAGTAAGTCCTATTGCTCTAATCAAAATATATTTGGAATCCAGCCCCTTTTACCACCCACAGCAACCACTCTGGTTCTTTAAGAAATATAAGCCAGATCATGCCCATCCTGTGCCTCAGAGCCTCAATGGTCCAATTTCACTCTGAGAAAAAGCCCACGTCCTTACAAGGGACTACTGGCCCCATGTGATCTGGTTCTGACCACCTCTTGGATCTCCTGGTCACTTCTCCAAAGTCCCCTACCCTGCCCTGGCCACAGCTTCCTCCTTGCTGTTCCTCCCGTGTCCTCCAGCCATGCTCATGCCCCAGGGTCTTCGCACCTGCTATTCTCTCTTTCTGGAATATTCTTCCCCAGCTGTCCATGTGACTTGCTCCTGAACTTCCTTCAGGTTTTTACTTGAATACCTCCTTGTTAAAGAGCTCCTTCTTGACCAGCTTATCAGCCCCTGTCATTCTTTATTCTCCTTTACTCTCCGTGCCTTTTTCATGGCTCCTATCGCCATGCAAGCCAACTCCATCTCCCAGGGCATGTTTTTTTTTTAAACAAGAGCCTTCAAAGTCAATCCCTTCTCTCACTGTCATTGCCCATCTCCAGTTTCAGCCCCAACCCACTAGCTTCCAGAGGCAGAAGTTGTCACCACAAGTGAGAGGAGAATCAGGAGCTCTGCCCCCTTTAGATGTCTTACTGGAGGTGGTCTACACAGTGGTTGTCACCCTTAACTCTAAGGGGACAGCGTGGTGTTTTCTGGCCCAGCATCATGGGCACAGCCTCCATATCAGCAAGGAAAAGGGATAAGATTCCCAGCAATGGGTCCGTGCTAGTGACCCTGCTGACTGGCCAAGAATAGGGGAAAGAGGACTCCAATATGGCTCCATCCTGAAGAACCAAAGCAGCACGTTTCATTCACTTATTCTTTTATTCATTCATTCCTTATTGTTGAAAATATTACATATGTCCTCTTCCTGCCCCCCCAACCCTTTCTAGCCTGCCCCCACCCCCTGCTCTGGGCCTTCACCACCCTATTGTCTGTGTCCGTAACTCCAGATCCCTATGGGCTGCCCACCTTCTAGAGCTCCCTCTGAGCAGGAAGCTGGGTCTGACTTGCTGGTAGTGGATTAAAATAGAGCTTGGCTAGGTCCAAGTGCATGTGTCTGACCCAGGGTGACTTTTAAGAGACTTTAGCAGATGTGAGCAGAGGTACAAGCACTGCACCGAGAGAGGCCAGGAGGAGAGACCTGCTGCGAAAAGCTTCCAAGAGCTTCTTGGCCGTTCTCCTGGCTTCTGTGTGAGAGCCAGGCTCTCTCCTGGGCTGCAACCTGAGATCAAACGCCTGTCCTTTTCCCTGCTAAATAGCAGGGCTCCAGACACAGGTGCTAAGAGAAAGCCCCTCCTGTACTGTGTGCCCACCTTCTTGAGCAAATCCCACCTGACTGATTCTTTGTGGCTCCTGCCCCCAAACCTGGGAGAGCTGACCTCGTTTTCCCTGCTTTCTTGCTCAGTCTTTCTGTGGCCTCAGGGGCCTTGGTGCTGGGGAGGAGCTTCGGTGCTGCCTGGCACCAACGTGAATGTGGGCAGAGCCTCGCCAAGTTTCCCTTGGCTGAAGGATTCCCAGGAAGGCCAGGGCTGAGCGCTTGGTCTTAGTGTCTTGGAGAACGCAGTAGCACCGAGGGGACTCCTTGTGCCACCACTTTGAGGCCAAGAAGTGTCCAGGTGGCCTTTCATGTTACTGATGGTTAGGGTTAGGGTTAGGGTTAGGGTTAGGTTAGGGAAGCTCAGCAAAGCTAAGTAACAGCATTGAGGTGATTTAGGGAGGGACTCAAGGAAAAATAGCCAGATACCCCCCGCCTGCCCCCTACCTCCTCCCTCCCCCACACACTCTCCAACAAGAACCTGATCCTTGGGGCACTGCTTTCCAAATATTCTCATGGCAGAATACATAAAGAATGGTGACACAATGGGCCAAAGGAATCAAACTGCTGGGCCTCGGGAACCAGTACTACTGTGCCCCCCCCCCCCTCCCTGCACACCTGCTGGGATGCTTCACCTTACCACCCTCTCCCGCAGGGGCAGACTTTTTGATCTCACAAATCCATGTCCTCCTCCAGGAGGTGGAATTTCCCCACTTATTTGATCTCCCAGGCTCCTCCAGGAAAGTATGTACAGTGATTTATGGGCCAGACCTGATGTCCCAGACCCTCCCACTGTGTGTTCAGTTTCCAACACACCCCGTCTCCTATGGTATTGGAGGCAGACAACAGTACCCACACCAGGAAGGAATTGCTAGGGCATCTGAATGGCCAAGATGACCCTGTGGTGAGCATTTGGGAGCTCCTTGGCTGCCTCTCTTAATCAGGGCCACCTGGAGCATGGAAATGACAGGCAAGTCCCCTTAGAGGCCCCAGGAGTTGGAAAAACCAGACCCTTAGCAGTGTCCTCATCTGTAACATGGGGCAACCTTCCCACTTTCCTCACAGGACAGTTGGGAGGCCTAAATGAGGTCCTGGGTATTAAAGCTCTTGTCACACTATGAAGGACTACATAAGAAAAGTGGGTTATTTTGATTTCTAATTAAAATGGGTATTTTTATTTGTGTTTGAAATAAAAACTAGCTCTGATCACCTCTTTTATCTTCCAAAAGCTTAGCCTTGCTGAGTTTCCAATCAACTTTATCTTGGTTTCTAAATATCAATTGTCAATAAATGGAACCAGAGCTGTTGGAGAAACGGCTGAGTTTAGGGCTGGGTCAGAGAAAAGACAAGATGAACCTGGAACATGTTGAAGTGACAGTAACTGAAGCGTTGCTAAAAAATGAGGGCATGTCATAGAGACACAGGTGTCATCCTAAAAGCTTGGACAATTTGATCAACAAAGTAAGTAACATAGTATTGGATAACCACAGTACAAAATAAATACAATGCGTCTGTACTGATAATAACAAATGATTGAACAAATAAATAAATAAGTGGAGGAGACAGACTTCTTCCTTCTACAAGGATTGTAAATGCTATAGAGACTCTCTCCCTCCAGATTGGTAGAGCTTAATTCCTCTACTACTCTGGAGTGGGGAGGACCTTGTGACTTCTTTGTAAGGCAATAAGAAAATGGAGAGTATAGAGAAGTGCAGCAAACATTGTCTTGGCCAGGGGAAGGTTAAACCCCAGTGATGCCATGTACACCTAACCTGCTGCAATGAGGAGGCACTCATCTCTGCGGTCTTCCTCCCCCAAACTCATCACCCCAGTCAAATAATGAGGCAAAATTAGACAAACCCAAATTGAGGGACATTTTACAAAATATCTGACCACTACGCTTAAAAACTATCAAGGTCATGAAAAGCAAGGAAAAGCTGAGAACTAGTCACAAACCAGCGGAGTCCAAGGAGACACCACAACTACCCCCAAGGTGGTCTCCTGGATGGCATCCTGGAACAGAAACAGGGCATTCTTGAAAAAAACAAAAATAAACAGGTGGAATCCAAACGAAGGTAAGCTAGAAACAAAACTCAGCCAACAAAACCCCCCTCTCCGGGCCTGAGGTGTGTGGCTTTCCCCAGGGCCCTGCTCTGAGCCGCTGTCTGGTTTTCCAGTCTCGGCGTCCTTTGACGGGAAACAGCACCTGCGGAGCCTGCCTGTGGTGAACAGCGTGGGGTACGTCCTCCGCTTCCTCGCCAAGCTGTGCCGCAGCCTCCTGTGCGATGACCTCTTCAGCCACCAGCCTTTCCCCAGGCGCTCCAGTGCCTCCGAGGAAGCCCCGGAGAACCAGGAAGGCAGGATGGAGACAGGTAGGCTTTGTCCATCTGTCTTCCCCTCGCCAGCAGGTGGTCCCAGGTGTACCTATCCTCCCGGGCCAGATGAGGCTGCTGCTGCTGAGTTTAGTGAAAGAGTTTCTATTTCAAAGATCTGGGGAAGGATTTGGAAGAAGCCTCCCACACTCTTTAACCACAGGTGCCAGGTGTTTCGAAGACACACAGCAAAGTTTGGGAAGCATCAATGTAGGGAACACTCTTCTAGGTGGAGAACTTGGCAGCTGAACAACCAGGTGGAACTCTCAGAAGATAGTTCCCTCAGAAGTCAAGTGGAGTTGACATTGTAAAGACCTTTCAAAGTCAAAGCCACCCAAGGCTGCTTGAGTGGTAGTGATGTCCCCACTATTGGTGATACACGTAGGTGTCCAGTTAGGGCCAGAAGGGAAAACTCTGGCAAGATGCTCTTTCTGGTCCCTTCCAGGTTGAGTCACCTGTGGAAATGTCAGAGGGTAGTGCTGGACAGCAGGAGGTCAGGGGGCCCCAGAAGCCCCGTGAGGGGGCCTTTCAAGGTGAAAGTGAGGAAACTAAGAGAGAGGGCTCCCATTGGACCAGGGAAAGAGCTTTTTCCAAACCCTCCCTCAGACTTTTGAAATATAAACTCTTTCACCAAATGATCTTTCTTCTGTGTCCAGGGGAAACCAGGCTTCAGACCTACTCAGCCGCCTAAATTCAGTCTGGAAGGTAGTTCTTGGTTTTAGACCAGAGACTTAGTCATTTTTCTCCAGGTCTATTAACTGACGGCCATCCGTGGTTTGTGTTTTAGAAACTAGAGCAGCTCTCTGGGTGCTTCAGGAGAATGGAGACAGAAACATGGACCTGATAACATTTGTGGTTCGGTTAGACATCATGAAATGATTAAGGGGAAAAGTGTACCTTACCTTTGAATATTGAAAAAAGAAATATCTCAATTATAAATAAGTTTTAGCCAGTGCTTCTGAAACTTTAATGTACTCAGGAACCATCTGGAAATGTTGTTAACAAGCTGAATCTGGTTCCGGGGTGGGTGGGGGTGGGGTGAGATGGGGTGGGTGGTGCTGGAGTGAGCCTGAGAGTCTGCCTTTCCAGCGAGTGCCCAGGTACTCTCAGTGCTGCTGCTGGTTGGGGGCCACACCTTGAGCGTGGTGGGCTGACCGAGTCCTGCTTACACAGGAAAATGTACTTCGTGCTTTCAGTAAAACAAGTTTTCCTCTGCGAGGACAATGCCTCCCCTGTAAAAGTGTTGCCACTAAAGCTAACCCAGGGTCCCATGGAGGTAACCATGGGCTGGAAAGGAAGATAGGGTCATAAGGGACCAGAGAGGTCAGGGGGAGGGCACATGTGCAAATACAGATGAAAAAGAGGATGTTTGCAGGGCTGGGGAGGAGGGAGAAAGAAAGGAAAGCAACTTTCTCACTGTGGACTGGCAACCACCTGCAGCAGGGCCTCTGCTCCCCAAGCCCTGTGTACACACCCACAGTGGTGCTTGATCCTGGAATTTGGGTCCAGATCTCATCGCTCTGCTAGAATGGCCTGGGAAGAGGACCGCACAGTTCCCAGCAGAGCCTGAGTCGTAACGAGTCTGCGGTGACTATTTACTGACTTAAGTTGTGTGCAAGACAACAGACCAAATTGTCTCCTCAGCAGGAGTAGGGGTGATCTGGAAACCACAGATGTGGTAGCTGAACGCTTCTGCAGGACCTAATGTAGAGATTGGTTTCCTGCCTTTTGAAGGTGCAACATGATGGGAACAAACAGTTTACTTTTTGTCGAGAAGCTCTTTTGATACGCGGATGGTAGGGGTGGGAGGTAAGGAAGGACATTTATGTGTGAGGCTTGATGCTTTTGTTCCTTGGCTGTAGTGTTTGAGCTAGAAAACTACTGGAGAAGCAGGCACTCCCAGTGTGTTTCATTATGGTGGGACTTATGCACCCAGCATTTAGGAACCAAATTTGCTTCCATGTTGAACTACAAATCTGTCTACTATCATAGCTCTACGGAGAACATCTATGATATGTTTCCAAAAGACTGTTTATTCCAAAGAGGAAACAAAGTTTGTCCAGTGGCATGAGTTCCTTGACACAGAAGCATCCATTGAGTGAGTCGGCAGTCATTGATTGGGCTCCCCCTACTTGTGATGCACGAAAGCCAGAGAGCGGAGGCCACACAGAAAGGAAGTGGGGAGAACCCTGACCCTTTGCTCTTCCTCCCCAGCTGGTCTGTCTGCAGGGTCCTAACACTTGCTGCGGGGCGGGGGGAGTGTCCTATTTCCCAATGGAGGAACCTGACTCACAAAACACATGTTCACAAGTGGCTTGTGGTAGGCACACCTGTGTCAACTTCTTCTAGAAAAGATGTAAAAGAACAAAACATGCTGAAACCAGTCTGGCTCAGTGGATAGAGCGTCAGCCTGCGGACTGAGGGGTCCTGGGTTCAATTCCGGTCAAGGGCATGTACACTTGGTTGCAGGCACATCCCCGGGTGTGTGTGTGTGTGTGTGTGTGTGTGTGTGTGCAGGAGGCAGCTGATAGATGTTTCTCTCCCATCGATGTTTCTATCTCTCTATCTCTCTCCCTTCCTCTCTGTAAAAAATCAATAAAATATATTTTAGAAAAATAAAATAAAAATAAAAGAACAAAACATCCCCCAGCTCCCATTCAGCAAAATCTCATAGGTGGAAACTGCAGTCCAAGCACGCTGATCCTCTGTTCTCCTGGCTTCTCTAACTTGGCCCCAAGGAGTGTTTCGTCCTCATCCTTGTGCTCCAGCTATGTCCTTGCTGGGTGACATCCAGGGGCCAGGCAAAGCCCGTCACTCCAGACACAGGAGCACTTGCTCTGCAAAACCCACACCAAGTGGCCTGCCCCGCCAGACACAAGGCACAGTTTGATCTGGTGCTTTAAATGATGATGAAAAGAGAGATGGAAAAAGGAAAGGAAAGAAAGAAGAGTGTTACTCCAGATTTCACTGCAGCTGTGGTCTCCTGGTGCAGACCACTGATTGGTACATTGCAGAGCTGTGTTCGTCCCGTCACAGCCGTGGGCCATGGGAAGAAGGTGAGCTGTCTGGGTCTCAAGCCGAGGGGGTCATTTGGAAGGAGAACAAAGTATCAGTGTCAAGCTCAGGTCTTAAGAACCCTCACAGAGAGTGTGATGGAAAGCTTAAAAGAAGTGTGTCCATAAGTTCTGTATCAGATTCTAAGGCCTCATGTATCTTCCGAGCATGGAGTAGAGAGCATTTGCCAATGTGGGGTTCCTAATCTGAGTTCTGCCTGTGTGCCAATAGGATTCATTTAGGGAAAGCTATTAATTATATTTTCAATGATGTTATTCATTCAATTCTAATATCGGTACATGTTTTAAAACATTGAGTCAAAAGGAAAAATATAACCTCTATAGAAAAGCCTGGCTTTTGTAGAATTTAAAATAGACTTTTTACAATGTTCACTAATCTATTGGATTTCTTTCCATTAGAAGGCTTAGGTTCTCCTTTGAGTCCTGTAGATACTAAGGAAGCACAAGATACGTATTCAATAATTATTGGTTAAAAGAATGAATGAACGAATGAATGACTGTTCCAATTAAGTTGTTGAAGCCTCCCACAGTACGTCAAATATGGGACAAAGGGCATGATATTGAATCATGTTGACCAATTTTATAATATTTTAATAGAAAGTGTTTATATTAAAATGCAACTAAAAAAATTAGGATCACAAGATAAATCATTTTGTGGATTAAAGATGCCAATACCCAAGATCAGAGGAGCAGAATGGTGACAGCAAATGTCCACGAGGCTCTTGGCTGTTTGGAGAGCTCCTTCTGTGAGGGGCTGAGGAGGAAAACACGAGCCCATAGAAAGAGGACATATGGACTCTTTCTTCCTACAGGGCTGGTCTCAGAAATTCTCTGAAACACACCCCTGCCCCTGCCCCATGCTCTCTCTTCAAATAAAATATCTACTAGCAATCTGCTTCTTTGTGAGGTTAACTGTGCCTCATGTGACACCCCTACCCATCAGTCCCCAACTGGCCAGACAAGGGGACTCCTGGGTCAGCTGCAGAGGCCTCTGTCCAAAGAGTCTCTTGTCTGTGATGGAAGGGATATAGGGGATGGGCCAGGCCTCGAAGGAGATCCAAGAAGATGGTGACCAAGTTCTCCGATCATACATCAGAACTCAGAAACCACAAGACGGATGGGAACAAAGGACTAAGTATATGAGATGAACTAGTAGCCATTCCCAAACCTTCAGGGCTCCCAGTAGCTATGATTGAGACTATCTACCCCTTTGGACTGTTCCCCTGGACCGATTCCCTGTGGCCCTGTGGTGGGCCCTAAGGCAGTATCTGCCGCTTCGCTTATTCACACCAGTGTCTTCTGGCCAGGCAATCAGAATGAGGGTAAAAATGGCAGAGCATGCCAAGAGGAGCTAAAGCAACTTAGTAACCCAGTAAGCTTCTAAGATAAACTCACACGCTCTCTCCTCTCAGTGGGCAATTTCTGGGTCTCACCCCTAAGCTGTAAACCCTTTGCTGAACGCAAACCCATAACTTTCCTGGCAGAGAACTGGACAGCTATTCCATAGCAGATACAGCCTAGCTGCTACTGAATTAATAATCACAGCTTCCATTTGGGATATGCAGGGTCAAGAGGAAGGAGACAAATCACCTCACCCCATCTGTATTAGTTACCTTTGCTGTGTGACAGCACTTGGTGGTTTCAAATATCATTAGTTACCTCACAATGTTCGTGAGTCAGGAGTCAGACGCAGCCGGAGTGTCTCCCGCACACACGGTTGCAAGGACCTTAAAGCCCAACGAGGGAAGGATCCGCTTCCCAGCTCGCTCACGGGATTCCAGGCAGAATTCTGTTTCCCACCAGCTTTGATTTTTTTGTAGTTGAGACCTCTCCACAGAGCACCCCAAGACGAACACTTGGAAGTATAGGGAGCCCTCCTAAAAGTCAGGGTGTCCATTTAGAACTGAAACTTACAAGGCATCCTCT